ATTTGTGCTATCTGCTTAATATTCAAACTTGTGGTAGTGCAACGACTGTTTAACGCGTTTGCAGCATTATGTGATCACGTAAAGTGTCCTGTTAAAGGCATTAGGATGTATACGCCAGTGTAACAGCACTATAATGTCGGCTTCTTTTCCGGACTACCGCAAGGAGGTGTGCAAGAACACATAGTAGCTTCCAAAAAGCACGTTTTCTACTTACGCACTCACATCAGCTGGAGGCCGTCCTTAAATGACACTGACTGTACATGTTGATAGGACGTTGAACAATAAACAAAGCCAAACCATTAAACTCCAGAAATATGAAACTATAAACTTTTTATTTAACAGTATGTTATGTTTAAATATCGTTTATAGAGCGCTAAGAAAACGATTTGAAATTGTTTCAAAGCCCAAAAACTCACCATTTTGGGAATTTACGTGATTCAGAAAATTTCCTAGAAAACTTCCACTTATTAATTATGCAAAGATAGTATCTTAAGCTGTTAAGTCCCTGTTAAGAAACGCTTTCTGAGGATGTCAATACAAACGAATATCAAGAAAAGTGGGCCAAGCTGAAATACAAACCGAAGTTCAGAAGGCCGCTACGAAAGGACACGTGACCAATCTGCGTACTCATCACGGGAGTGTTTCCAGATCAAGTGTGATGTCGCACGTGCTGCTCGCTTTTCGAGAAGTCATATCACAGGTAGAATGCCGGTGCAATCTGATTAAAATACAGGTCTCAATTTACCTCTGGAATTATGAACGGAAAGTATTGGAGGGATTTTAATCAGATCGAACGCAGGTGAATAATAATTAGAGGGCTTGAGGGAAAACACACGTGTTTTAGTTAACACGGACCTCTCACGGAAACGCCTAAAGGATTTTCCGGCTTTGATTCGGCAACGATCGTAAATTATATTGATGGAGATGTGTTTACAAACAGTGAATTTCAACCGTGTTTATATCAGTATCTCTCGAATACATTATTTTTTACCGTATCTTTATCAATAGATGAATTAACTCTACGTTTTTTTATTGATATCATGTATAATGAGGCTTGAAAGTTTCCGAAATAGCTCTCTCTCTCTCGAGGTAGATCCGGAAAAAAACTTTACTTCGATATTACTCGTGTCACTCACGTGAATTTCGATTTTGTTATTCCAAGGCCTTTCCGGTCTATGGAATCGATAGGCTTCACGTTAAATCTAGGAAATTTGTAAAAAGAAAATGTGTTACTATCATCAGACCTCAGATGCTGGTATCTCAATCTCCACTTTGAATCCAACTGCTAAATACACTGACTTATAATATTGTGGTACTCTACAGTGCTGTCCATCACCTCGAAGGTCCTTCTTATTTGGGTTCTGTTAAACAATATTGACATGCTTTCAATACATACAAAGTAGCATATGTTGGCCTGAAATAGTGAACTAAAACAATGTTTAAGATGCAACACTTCAGCTGTAATTATTTACCTGATGAAACACGTGATTACCGAAGACCGGAAGTAGGTAAGGTTAATAACATTTCCGGGATGGGCACTAAATATAAAAAAACGACTCCGGATTCAGGTAATTGTAAGGGCAGGTATTCCAGAAAACTGTTTCCGGATCGTGTATTTCCGGAATCATGTAAATACGACTGTAAAATAAGCGACTTCAGATCAACTGATACTAAAGAGACGATTCTACTTGAACACGTGCTTGTTGTTTTTCACAATCGATATGGTATCCGGTATAACGTACAAGGGAACAGATGTCCTTGAATCTAATTAATATTTATTATACCATTGATACGGAAATATAAAGTACAAACAGTATATGATAAAGATTTAAAATCCTCCAATACATTTCCAGTGTTGTTTTATTTATTGTTAACGTTTTCTGTTTTGCTTTGTTTGTTTGTTTTAATTAAATGGGCGGCTTCTTTAACAGTGTATCTCAGTTTTATTAAATTTTTAATTATGAAGTATTAAACAATATTTGTCATAATTTTTACATTATGTGTCTACTGCATAGCGTTCCATATAAAATATTTGTTTGGATTATTTTGTGAATGAAATAGTAGTGATAATTTTCCCCATACTTTCATTCTTGTGTTCATATGTAATTGACCCTCGTGATGCAGGTGATGTTTTTTTTATTGTCACATCAGAACCCGGGCTGATTAACAGTTTCTCAGCAAACTAGAACTGATTAAGTGACCGACCAAGGCCAATTTCACGTTTCCGGGTTCTTGGATCCGAATCTCTTATGACGGTTTTATACATTAGGTAGCTAAAGGGCAACAGAAACAGCTGCACAGTTGTGATTTGTTCAGTGTATCGGGACAGTATTGTTTTACCATTTATCGTTACGTGATACTTCTACAATTGATTGTGTTATAACATGGATTTCTAAAATAGGAAGTGAATATCAACTGAGAGATGCACGTTGCTTTTAACAATAAAACATCACGTGAAAAATTGATTCCATTTCAGAAACTTTTTGCCGATCACGACTCTTGTAAGCAATGAGATTAGATCTAGTTATAACCATATATCTGGTGCACGTGGCCAGTCGGAATATTTCGCGAGCGTCTGTTTAATGTCTATTTGCCGATAAACTCGTATTTGTGGTGGAAAAGTCTACTAAGAGAAGTCATATGTCATTTTGTGCAATTGTGATCACAATGTGAAACAAGATACATTCATTTTTCCTTTTAAAGGACTATATGTTTGCGTGGAATGATTCAATGAACGTCGGAAATTGTTCTGGCGTACTAATATCGACTGTTCGCTGTCTGAGTTATCGGTAAAGTAAAGTGTTACGTAATGGCGAATCTCCACGGAAGCTCACACAGATTAGGTTTCCGATAATCTTCTCTTATATAAATCGTTTAAGTCACTTAAGATATGTCCTGGGCCCTCTCAATTCATGTGTGCATATGGTTAGGGACATTTTTTAAGTCCAAAAAAATGTTTCTGCTAGATTTTGACCCGCGCTCCGCCGCTACCGTATTCCCGCTTCTGCTGTTAAATATATTTTGACTTTAGGAATACTATACTCTAGGCATCGCTAGATGTATCCTCCAACTCTCCAAGTTCCACTAAACTGTCAACAAAATTGGATAGAAAAACTCAAAAGTCAACAGGGAAGATTGGAATGGTATATCGCTAGCGTTTTAGGATATAGATGGTAAATTTTCTCTAGAAATCAGAGTAAAGTGTTTGAATGTTAGCATCACATAATATTTACAAGTTCTAGGATAACATTCTGTTTCGTTTGGTAGATGTAAATATCTGATCTGGTTTTCAGAAGTTGATTGGTATTGATATTCATGTTTAATTGAAGCAGTTGATATGCTATCGTGATTGTGTTCCTCGGCAAGACATTATACCTTACTTACTCTAGATAGCACGGACACCCCGTATATTGTTCTGTGCGGTGGCCGTTACCTTCAATGTTCCAAATTAACATAAGAAAGGCGCGTTCTATTATGTTCAACATGAGCAGTAGGAGGACGTGTTCTAGTCAGGTTCACATTTGCAGCAGAGAGGCGCGTTCTATTCTGATCCACACTAGCAGAAGGAAGGCGCGTTCTATTCTGATCCACACTAGCAGAAGGAAGGCGCGTTCTATTCTGATCCACACTAGCAGAAGGAAGGCGCGTTCTATTCTGATCCACACTAGCAGAAGGAAGGCGCGTTATGTTTCAATCCAAATTAGCAGACTAATGGCACGGCCTGTCCTTTCCCAGAGTAATTCCACATTAACAACAGATCAACGCGCTCTATTACATTCCACATTAACAACAGATCAACGCGCTCTATTACATTCCACATTAACAACAGATCAACGCGCTCTATTACATTCCACATTAACAACAGATCAACGCGCTCTATTACATTCCACATTAACAACAGATCAACGCGCTCTATTACATTCCACATTAACAACAGATCAACGCGCTCTATTACGTTCCACATTTACAACAGATCAACGCGCTCTATTACGTTCCACATTAACAACAGATCAACGCGCTCTATTACATTCCACATTAACAACAGATCAACGCGCTCTATTACATTCCACATTAACAACAGATCAACGCGCTCTATTACGTTCCACATTAACAACAGATCAACGCGCTCTATTACATTCCACATTAACAACAGATCAACGCTCTCTATTACATTCCACATTAACAACAGATCAACGCTCTCTATTACATTCCACATTAACAACAGATCAACGCGCTCTATTACATTCCACATTAACAACAGATCAACGCGCTCTATTACGTTCCACATTAACAACAGATCAACGCGCTCTATTACATTCCACATTAGCAACAGAGTCTTGCGTTCTATTCTACTTCCCATGAACAATAAAAAGGCGCGTTCCATGATGTCCTACATTTGCTGAAAAATGTCGTGTTACGATATGTTCCGAAGTATCAGAAGAGAGGTAAGATTTATTAAATCATGTAATGGTTAGTAAAGTATCCCGTTATATCATGTATCACAAAAGAATGTAGAGTAGTGTATATCAGTGGAGACGAACTCGTGTATAAAAGTCTGAAAGTATGTACACACGCAATACTATGTGTGGCAGATATCGAAAATGTTTTATTGTCCCATATCACAGAGTCCAGGAAATGATAGATGTAAGTTATAACTTTTTTTTACTTTCTCGATATATGTGACACGAACATGGTTGTTAGACAACAATATAACTAAGACGTTGATTAGTGTAGGAGAATAACAAATGTTATAGTGACCTGGATCGTACAGTGGATTCGAAACGGAGATCAACATTATATATTTTGTTGGGTTTTTTTTTTGTCTTCTTTAACATAATCTTCTTTTGCAAAAGCTTCATGTCCTTTTTAGCGACTGTGCAAAAACCTTTTATGTCCCTGAACAACAAACAACAAACATTGTACCGATTTACATTTGTTTAAAAGGTAAAATTCACACATAAAATATACATTTATTTTAGTTTTTAAGACTTCTTTAACTACTAGTACCTAGCATAATAGTAAAGTGGTACGTTCGTGCCTTCGCTTGTGGTATAATAGCCGCTACCCCTTGAATCCCAGCAAATAGACTCGCCCTGTCTCTCGCCGGTGTATGGTAGTGTCTCGGGATTTGTGCCAAGTGCCCGGATGTAGTTTTTGTCTGGTACGCTCCAGTAATATATGTGGCCGTAGCTCTTAAGGAGCACCTCCGTGCCATCTGGTGAGATATCCCCACCCACGGGACTGGGCGAGGAGGAATAGAACGCCAGGCTGGTATGGCTACTTATGTAAACAGGGTTGGAACCGGAGTTGCCCCATGCAGATTTCGGCACGTGAAAAACCTTGCTATCGTGTGAGTGACTTGTTTTTGAAACGAGGTAGGTTTCGGCATCAGGTGCAACCATTATCGTCTCACAGTCATGCTGGTCCCACCTATAGAAACATAATAGATTAATAACCACACAGTTAAAGTACAACTTATTGAAATCTGATGAAGATGATCCGCTTCAAATGTATTGAAATAATCATAAACCAGGTCTTTAGATCACTTTCTTATCCAAGACGGTATCCGGTCTGCCATTTTGTTTTCTTAAAGGAAACCTACACATAAAGCTTGAGAAATAGCTATGTTAATAATATATTAATAACAGGCTTCAGTTATAAAATAAGATCCTAGATGGAAGGCTGTCAGCCATTTACTTTCACTGATCAGTGTCAAAGTTTGATGAGCAAAACTACGGACCATGGGAAACATGCAAATTAAAGACCTGTGTCTCCCGGGATCCATGTTTGATAAATTATCAACGAGTTTGTATTATTTGCATCACTTCAATAAAATGTTCAAAGCACACTTCAAATGTATTTATTACGTACGTTAAATTCCATAAAAATTGGAGTTATCTCCCCATACATGCTTTAACCAATTAAACGCAATGCAGAATATGTTTTGTGCTCATATACAAAGTTTAGAAACGACTTACATAATTATACACTGATGTCCGGTCCCATTAATATATTTTTTTTAAATTGAAGAAAATAGAGAGATCCATTCAGTATTCTCAGGAAATAACGATAACAACAACTGCTTACGAAAGGACAACGGATCACAGGCGATTTGAACAGCCGAACATGATATGCTGGTGGACTAAATGTGTAGTATTATTCGATATAAACCTTTTTATATAAACAAACAAACACCTGAAGTGGATGGTTGATTCCACGTGTATGGTTTGGTCATAAATACTAGAAGGTTCCTGTATCCGGTAGAGAATGTTGGCTTCATAGTTTCCGGCATTTCCTCCTGTATCCGCCACATAGATACAATGGCCGCCATTGGGACATGGTCCTGCTGCAATATCTTCCCAGTCATGACTGTGCGCGCCCTCTATGGTCAGAGTGGCCAGACGACGTCCACTATGGGCATCAAGTAACGATAAATTACTGATTTATTCTTATCTAAAAGAGTATCAATTGATTAGGTATAAAATTTACATAATAAGCATTTTTTTCAACAATTTCAACCAATCATATCGCTGGATCCTTTTCTCCTCGCCATACCTGTTGTTGTCGATGGCGAATATCCGTGGTTGTCCACCAGAGTCATTATGGGTGTACAGGACGTTACTATGGCGACGGCTGGCTGCTAAACCCGACGCTTCCGGAATAGAGTGGCTCGTGATCGTCCCCACCTGGTGGCCGTGATGGAAATGTGGGGCTGTTGATGATCACGTGATATATTGATTTTTTTTATTTATTTATTTTTTTCATTTTGTATAATTTATATGTTTATCGTTTCATTCATAAAGATCCACTTACTTTCATTTGTATTGAACTGCACCACTAATTTAACATTGCTAAATTTCAGTGATGAGATGTCGAAAATCGACCGGATTAAAAGGAATTTTATCTAAAAATTGTCTTACATTCGTTTCGTTTGGCATGAAATATCTGGTAAGCTGGTTACTATTATGTTGTAATTGACATTCCAGAGAAATGATTAAATAAGGCAGATAACTATCATACAGTGGCAAAAAAGCAGCAAAACAGCAGCAAACAACAAACAACAGTAAAACAACAGTAAAACAGCAGCAAAACAGTAGCAAAAGCTGGATTTTTTTTTACATCAGTCCATATGTTGAAAAAAAAAAATATATATAATTGTGTAAGTGAAAAATGAACATTTTGCAAATCGAAAATGTAATAATTTGTAGAAATGTAATAATTCTATGCTTTTTCTTTTTTGTCAATAGAATAGCAAATTTGTTATGAAAAACTGCTAAAATTATGTTCTTGCATGCCAAATTCCAACAATACACGCCATACAAGTCATATTCCTTGTATACGCTTTATGGTACAGTCGAAAACTTAATGACGTCGTCAAAACCAACCCATCAGTCGAATAACTTACTTTACTATAGCTAAAACATCAATGACGTCGTCAAAACCAACCCGTCAGTCGATTTACGTACTTAACTATAGCTAAAAACATCAATGACCTCATCAAAACCAACCCGTCAGTCGAATTACGTACTTTACTATAGCTAAAACATCAATGACGTCGTCAAAACCAGCCCGTCAGTCAAATTACGTACTTTACTATAGCTAAAACATCAATGACGTCGTCAAAACCAACCCGTCAGTCGAATTACATACTTTACTATAGCTAAAGAAACATCAATGACGTCACCTAAACCAACCCGTCAGTCGAATTACGTACTATCCAATAGCTAAAAACATCAATGACGTCGTCAAAACCAACTCATCAGTCGAATTACGTACTTTACTATAGCTAAAACATCAATGACGTCATCAAAACCAACCCGTCAGTCGAATTACGTACTTTACTATAGCTAAAAACCTCAATGACGTCGTCAAAACCAACCCGTCAGTCGAATTACGTACTTTACTATAGCTAAAAACCTCAATGACGTCGTCAAAACCAACCCGTCAGTCGAATTACGTACTTTACTATAGCTAAAAACCTCAATGACGTCGTCAAAACCAACCCGTCAGTCGAATTACGTACTTTACTATAGCTAAAAACCTTAATGACGTCGTCAAAACCAACCCGTCAGTCGAATTACGTACTTTACTATAGCTAAAAACATCAATGACGTCGTCAAAACCAACCCGTCAGTCGAATTACGTACTTTACTATAGCTAAAAACATCAATGACGTCGTCAAAACCAACCCGTCAGTCGAATTACGTACTTTACTATAGCTAAAAACATCAATGACGTCGTCAAAACCAACCCGTCAGTCGAATTACGTACTTTACTATAGCTAAAAACCTTAATGACGTCGTCAAAACCAACCCGTCAGTCGAATTACGTACTTTACTATAGCTAAAAACATCAATGACGTTGTCAAGACCAACCCGTAGGTCGAATGACATACGAAGACACAACTGAAACACGACAAGCAAAACAGGGAAGACAATTAGTGACAGGGGTGATAACTCGGTGAGTGATGAAGACGCACACTCCGCCATGATGATATGTTGAGGATGAGGGGCCTTAGGATAAGGAGGTTGCTCATTGCATCAATTTTCCGTTGCTAAGGAAATCCAAGATGGCGGACTCCTTAGCAATACCTCCTTCATTTGCATCATATCACCATGTATGTTTAATTTTGATATGCACTTATCGTTCATTATGGTTTCTTTCTGAAGAGATATTGAGAAATCCTAGATTTTTAGATGTAAGTGTAGCAAATAATTATCTATATATAGAACCCAGAATTCATAAACTTAATCTATGTAAACGTGAAGCTTAATTTCTGCAATATATAAAATACAAACGATTTTAAAATGTATTCCTCTGAGAAATAAAAAAAGATGCAGTAAAAATCCTTTTTCTGGTAATGATGTTTTGAATGATTCATTTTTTTTAAGAATACATTAAAAGCGAAAAATCGATATGTTGCTGCACTGGTTTTTCCGTTACAGACGTCAGAAAAAAAATGGTCATTAAATATAGGATATGTCAGAATGAAAGATCGTTGTACAGCGGAAGTAAACAAATAATAATTGTATATAAGTATTTGACGTAGACAGACTTACATCATTTATACACAAGAGAAATACGTACCCGCAGTGCCTAAGGAAAAGACAGTTAACACAAAAACGCATCGAAACAAGGACGCTGCCATTGTAACTCCGAGACAACACAGACGGTGACTGTCCTATCTCTTATCAGACCTAGAACTTGTGTAATCTCAGTAGGTCAGAAACTATCAGAATCGTTTTAAATTTGGATTACGATAGTCATTGTGAGATATGATTTTTGAGATCATTTTGGAAGTTGAGGTTTGAAGAAAAAATCTTTAATCATTGTTTGAAACACTTCGAGGATGCCTTCCTACATATATAACACATTTTTTCACGCAATCTCGGTCGCCGAGATGTTTTGTATTCCCACCAACCAAAAAATGTCTTATTCACCTCGATTGTCTTTTTTCTCTTTTTCTTTGTGATGATTTTTCAAAGGAGAAAGAATCGCAGGATATAAAAAAAAACAGCAAGAACTTTCTATTATAACTGAATGAGATTTAAGATGAATCACCTCAACATCGAAAAAACATGTATACTAATATTCTTTTTATAGAAACAGTTGAGGGACGGACGAACGGACGAGAAGGGAACAATATATCCTTCCGATGTCCGGTCGGAGAATGTTAAAATGTCTTCCTTATTATATAAACATGATAATTCCAAGCCTTCGTACTTGTTATCGACTTTTCTACAAACCTGACATCAATATCAATCCGCCGGCACGATGCGTCTACGTGACACAGATTGATCAACGTCAATCAGAAGATTGGGTTGATAAGTGATACTTGAGGATTTTAACCAGCAAACTTTAATAAGATTCTGTGTTTTTCATGTTAATTCTGAACGTTGTAATTTTCTAGTCTGTAAAATCCGACCTTGGATCGCTTTTCAAAAAGTTTGTTTTCCCCCACTAGTTATCATTCACGCAGATAATTTCATTTATAGATTTACACGGAAACGGGAACCATTCCACACAACATTCACGAGACGTGTACGCCTGGAGGATTACAGGCTCGCAACCATAGGGAACTTTGTGCGTGTCTTTGTTGACTTCAAATCGAAGAAATTGGAAATGAATTTAATTGAGTTAAGTAATATAGTGTGTTTGTGTGTAGGCTCGCATAGGGAAAAATACAACAAAATAAACAAACAAAAAAGTGCCCTAAGCCTTTGAATTTAATTCGGTTGAGTTACAAGATCTGAAACACGACAAGCATGCTCTCTCTGATGTGAAACCCATACTTGAAACGCTTGAATGATTTATATTTTGAAGTTCAGATTTAAAGCTTTTCAATAGACACAAAAGCCTTCAAACATAACTGAGGAATTTAGAATAAAGGTTTTTAATAATCTTCAGAAAAAGGACTTCTTATCCTGTGAGAACTTATCTTAAACAACCAATCAGATTCATCTATTCTAAATTCTAGAAATTTACTCATTACCTCCACAAACCCCTACAGGTATAGATGCGTCAAATAGCAATGTACTAATCCGAGAAATATTTTACAATGAATGTAAGATATGATCAAATGTAAGGAGATAGGTATATATTTTCAGATATTTTACTTACTGTCTGATCAACCTTTGATCGTATAAGATCGATCACTCCATATAGGCGAGGTGAATTCGTGTGCTTTTTTTTTTAAACTTCTCGTAAATCTTTCAATCATTATTTTTAAAATATCTTTACCATCATTTAACCGATTTTAGTTCTAATTTCGGGTTTCATTAATCTGGCAATGCTATCTTTTTACAGTTTATAATTTGAATGAACAAACACGAATAAAAAATATCAGAATAATTGAAATGTTCCTGACATTGTCACGTGATAGAAATAATAAACCAGACTGTTTAAGAATCGGTGGATGCACGTTTCGCGTTCCTAATTACTGGATTGACAGCAAGGGCCATTTTGTGCAAGGTCAACTTGTAATAGCAGGTGCCTACCTTACTGAACAGCATACTGAAGGTCTGTCGCCACCACTGAAATCAAATTTTGGAGTAAAATGTCTTATTGGTGTCACTGAATTTCGGATATATGCCTGAAGTGAGAAACATGTGGTCAGAGGCAAGCAGTCTTTAAAGATTCCCGCCATTTTTCTGGGTGTAAAAGACAATAATTAATTGGACAATCAATATACAATAATCCGTCTGTAATATAGTGTGCCCATGTAACAGTTTGTGTTTATGTCATTAGTGCCATATACACTGGAGCGGGTTTTTATTTGCTGTGCCACTCGATTGTGGTGTCATAGTATGAATAGTGACGTGACGTCATAAATTGAACCATTGCAACAAAAAGGCTGCCTCCGTTTCGTCCTTCACATCTTGGCTTTAAAACATTTTAAAATGTAATCTTTCTGAGTTTTGTGATGAAGGTATCTTATATTTGTGAATTAATTAATCTCGTCTTAGGGCTTGCAAAGATAAAGAAGTTTCATAAAATTTCATTAAAATGAAAAAAAAAGTGAATATGGAGTCGATGAGCGAGATCAAGTATTATTGTATGTATAGATTTTCTTGAAAAAAAATTATACGGAAAATGTTTCTCACAAAAAACACATTTTGTTAATCATGTGGTCAGTGAAAGATGTACATGTAGCTGCCACGATGTTGGGACGCCAGGACGTCACGTGGTATCTGTACTCCTTCATTCCATCAG